GGTTTGGAGAGGGTAAGTGACTTGCCCAAGGTCACACAGAGGGTGAGTGGCTGAGTCAGGACTTGAACACGGGCAAGCTGGCCCCGGCATCCATGCTTTTAACCCTCTGAACCTTGTTTTTCTTCCCTCTGAATCTTGCAAGCCCACGGGGCTAATATAAATTAAGGGAATGAGCACTGGCTTGAGAGCCAACCCCCTCTTGTCATCCCCAGTCACGTGGCTGCCAGCCCATGCAGGGAGTTCAAACTTCCTCACCTACCAAATGAGGATGATATTACCCACTCCCAGAGTTGAGGTAAGGACTAGCAATAACATGCTTTGGGGACTCAGAAACGCCTCTAAATTATGAAACGAACACGTGCACCTGGTAAAACAGAATGGTACAAAAGGGGACCCAGGAAAAAGGGAGTTCCCCTCCTACTCCACACCTTTAATTCTTCTCCCCAGAGGCAACTTCCGCCGATTGCTTTTGGATCACTTTTTGGAAATTCTCCATGCACATAAAGACAGAGAAGTTATATTCGCATAGGGATTTAGAATATGGGCTGCCTGGTACTGCTGCTTACTATCTATGTGAAGCTTGGGCAAGTCACCTGTTCCCTCTGGGTCTCCCTTTCCTCACCTGTAAATGAGTTACTAAAATTAAAGTATCTCATGTAAAGGGTAGCTGTGAGGGTTAAATGAGTCAATCTACGTAAAGTGTTTAGAACATTCTCTGGCCCACGGTGTCCGATAGATATACACATACAGTGGATCCTTTCTGATAGACATTGAGATAGCCTCGTGCTATCAGAAACAATACTGCAAGACGCATCCTCGTTCACCTGTGGACTGCAAGAATCTCTGTGGGATAAATTCCTGGCAGAGAAATTGCTGGGTCAAACCGTAGTGCCCTTGTAATTTCAATTAATGTTTGGATGAGTGAACCCTCGCGGCAGGCAGGGAAGAGGGAAGAGGGAAGGAGGTCCACAAGGCAGTGAGGACGAGGGAGGAGTGAGATGCAGTGCTCCGTCTCTGAGGCCCAGAGAGGGCCATGTCTGTCCCCCCTGGAACCTGAAGGATGCAGCAGCTCCCTAAGCCCCTGGCCAAGCAGACGGAGGGTTGAATTTTACACAGATTGTTCCCATAAATGTTTTACAGGGAATTGGTTGATTGGATTAGAGGGGCAGGCGCCCCTAATGAGCAGCAGCTGCTTAACAAAATGCTGCAGCAGATACAATTTCCCTTTACCACCATGCACCATGGCAGCAAGCATCCACACCCTGGTAGGGACGCTTGGATGCCCGTGTCACCTCAGAATGACACCCCAATCGGGTTCGCCTTCTCCGAACATCCTTCTAGGTTCCAGACATCCCAGAAGAGATAGAGAGCAAGGGGTTAAGGGCACAGGTGTGGGGGGAGACAAAAAAGGTCTTTTGTCTGCTGACATTACATTGTGACCTTGGACAAGTCATTTGCTCCTTGACCTCAGAGAAGGTTGTCCTGAGGGCTAAATGAAAGTGCTTACACAGTGCCTGGCACACAGTGAGAGCCTGATACATGGAAGCCCCAAAGATACAGATGAAGAATAAAAGCAGCTACTCTGGACCCCACCCCAGAAGAGCCTGGGAACAAGGTACACAGCGGTGGCCCCCCATCCCCATCTAAAGAGAGCGATTTAGCATTTGCCCCAACCACGTCCTAGGGAATGTTCCAGATGTCCCAGTCTGGAAAATGAGATGTGTGACTTATGTTTCCAAGTAAGTTTTAAAGTTCCAAAGCGAATAATTCCATTTTGTGTCTGATCCAAAAGAGCAAATGGGAACTCTCAAGTGAGAAGAAGGCACTGGAAGGAAGTTTCCCGAGCACCCCCACCTTCCCCTTATTGATCTGATCTAGGCTCTGCCCTTTCAGAGAAGTCCCAGGAGTAACAACAGCAAGTACCCCCACCGATCAGGTAAGTGCCCAGGTTCGGGGTCAGATCGCGATTAGCCTCTTCCCGCCTGAGTTCTGTACCTGTGAGCTCGAGCCTCGGGGCCCTCCTCCCCGTAGGGTGGGGATCACTCGGGCGCTGCGGTGGAGGTTCGAGGAGCGACTGCGGGCGAGCGCCCCGCCCCCGCCCGGCAGGCATCCCGGGGACCCGCGCCGCCGAGCGCGTCCACGCCTCCACGGGCGGATTCCCCCGCGGCCTCCCGCGCCGCGCGGCGGGACCCGGGTGATTGCAAACAGCCGCCGGCCTCATTAGGAGACGTGTAATTAGCGGCTGGCGGAGCCGGAGCAGGCGCGGGCTAATTACGGCGGGGAGCGGGCTGCGCCGCCCACGCCGCCGCCCCGGCCGCCGGGCCACCGCGGGTGTCTGGACGCCCCGTGCGGCCGGCGGGGGCAGCGGGCCCTGGTCCCGAGGAGGGGAGGCCCGGGACTGCCCCAGTGTGCTTGCTCCCGGGGCTACGCGGGGGCCGGGGAGGAGGAGGCCATTCACTCAAAACGGCGTGTACGCTGCGCTCCCCGTGTCGGGCGTTTCGTCCACGCTATCGCGTTTCTCTCCGGTTCACTCGCGAGCGAGGGACCACCGTCACCCTGTTGCACAGATGAGGAAACTGAGGTCTAGGGACGTGAATTAGCCTCCCCGGCAGCAAGGGGCTGGAAAATAGAGTGGGGACAGGCAAAACCGTGCACAGGACAGCAGCTGCTGCGTGGGCGAGAGTAAGGACTCGAGCAGGGTGGCCTTGAGTTCGAATTCTAATCTAGCTCCTTACTGGATGTGACTTTGGTCTGAGCCCCAACTGCATCAGTAAAATGGGCGCGGTGTTGGGATTAAGCGAGTTGAAAGCTAGGAAGTGTTGGTGTTATTTTAGGGACGCGAGGCGCAGGAAGGGGTGCTCTGAGGCTCTTCTCCGCGCACAACGGGCCTCTGACGCCCCCTGCTGGCCAAAGGGGGACGCTGGCGAGACCGTTTTTGGATAAACAGGTTGTTTTGGAATGAGGAGAAAGCGTAGGCACAGGTCCCTCAGGTTCTTCATTTTCTTTCCCCCTGTGCCATCGGGCCTCAAAGTGAGGTCCAGGGACCACTGGGTTTTCTGAGACTCTTTCCAGGTGTCCCTAATGTCAAATTAGTGGTGGCAAAGAGTTGAGAGATGAGGAAATTGAGGATTCATTCCAGACTTTGCAAATACTTGGCCTCCCTTCATGGACCTCACAGGGCCAGCCAATTCCACAATTCTACAAATAGGGATAGGTATAAACATCAAGTTACAAAGCTGTGAACCAGCGTGCTGGGTATAACAAAAAAAATCTGGAACTAATTTGAATGTCTATCGTGGGAATACTGACCAATTTAGCAGTGTTACATCTGTGCAGCTGAAAAACAACATTGCAGAATGGTTGACATGAAAACATAGTCAAACAAGAACGAATCTTACAGACGTTATGTTGAGCAAAAGGAGCCACACACACACATACACACACACACAAACATATTGTTGGATTTTTATATAAAGTTCAAGAACAGGGGCGCCTGGGTGGCTCAGTTGGTTAAGCGGCTGCCTTCAGCTCAGGTCATGATCCCAAGGTCCTGGGATCCCAGCCCAGAATAGGGCTCCCTGCTCAGCGGGGAGTCTGCTTCTCCCTCTCCCTCTGCCCCTCCCCCCTGCTCGTGCTCTGTCGCACTCTCTCTCAAATAAATTTAAAAAATAAAATCTTTAAAAATAAATAAAGTTCAAGAACAGGCAAAGTTGATCTTATGATAGAATTCAAAACAGAGGCTACTTCTGGGAAGGTTTTGACTGGGAAGAGAGCAAGGAGCCTTCTTGGGTGTGGAAATGCTCCCTATTAATATGGGTGGTAGTTACAAAAGTCTACACATATGTAAAAATTCATTAAGCCTTACAATTAATATGTACTTTATGTATAGTACACCTCAATAATTCAGTTGTAAAAAAAAGATACTCAAGCAAAAAAAAAGTGCTAAACAGTTTGATCCTATTCATAATAAGAAAATAAAAGGAAAAATATAATTAATCATGGAGCAGCAGTTCTAAGTTTTTTGTCTCAGGACCCCTTTACATTCTTAAATTATTGAGGATCCCAAAGAGCTTTTGTTTTTATAGGATATATTGATACTTATTATGAATATTAAAACTGAGAAATGCAAAGATTCCAAGTAAACAAATAAAACTGAGAAGTGTTTAAAACAAAAAGTCCCATTAGCCATCAGAGTGATAATGTCAGCACATGTCACATAGTCTCTGGAAAACTTTACTGTCCACTCTGAGAAAGTGAAAAAGGCAAAAAACATCTTAGTATTATTATGACAGTAATTTGACATTAGGGACACCTGGAAAGAGTCTCAGAAAACCCAGTGGTCCCTGGACCTCACTTTGAGGCCCGATGGCACAGGGGGAAAGAAAAGGAAGAAAATACACTACATGAGAAATTATCTCCCGGTGCTGAGATTATAATTTTTTATTTCCTTCTTTGTACTTTTTTTTTTTTTAAGTAAAATATAACAACCACGAATTGTTTCTGCAAACAAAAGCCGAGGCAATATACATGTTTCCATAAGATTGTTGAAAGACCCAAACAGTAATAATATATTTGGCTGTACGAAAAAATTAAACAGAGCTCTAACCTGAAACTAAGGGTCCGATTTACCGTGTCAATCCCAGGCGTGTAAATGCAGGGTCTTGCCCTCAAAAGTTCTGCCGTCTAGCTTAGGGAGCGAATATAAGTGCATACACAACTTTATTGCAAGGTAATAAAAAGTAAATACCCCGAGAGCCCCCAATGCAGCGGCTTCATCCTACACAGAATTGCAAACTCTGGCGTGTTGCAGACACACCCAACGCAACCACACGCCACTTCGTCGCAGATCTCCACCCCCAAACAGCTAACTCGGCGGGGCTGTCAGCAGGACGCATGCGCTCTACAAACGTAGAGGGAGGTAGGGCTTAAAGGAGACTGACACTGGGTTCGGCCTCCCAACCCTCTAGCCCCCGCCCTCCTACCCTGCTTCCCTCTCTGAGTGGTTGCAAGACTGCGGAGGGTAATTTCCCATTGGCAGCCAGCAAAACCGCAGATATCCGGTTTGGGCGCGGGGCCGCCGGGCGCGGAGGCTGCCATGGTGCGGTTCAAACACAGGTAAGGAGCCCTTGTCCCAACACCCGCTGCCCTGCCGGGTCCCCGCGGCCTCGGCCCCGCGCTCACTTTCCTGCTGCCCGCCGCAGGTACCTGCTCTGCGAAGTGGTGTCTGATGACCCCCGCTGCCGCCTGAGTCTGGAGGACCGAGTGCTGGGCGGCCTCATACGGGACACGATCGCCCGCGTGCACGGGACTTTCGGCGCGGCCTCCTGCTCCATCGGCTTCGCGGGTGCGAGGGTCCTGGGGAGCTAGGCGGACGGCGGGATTGGGAGGGAACGGGGGCCGGAAGAGGGAGAAAGAAAGGGTACGAGCGACCGCAGGAGCTTCCAAGCCCGATACACAGACCTCACCCTACAGTATCGTCCTCTTGAGGCCCCTCGGAGTCTAAGCCCGAGTCTGGACGAGTCCGAGGTTAGGCGGAGAGCTGAAAGGCAGTGGCACTTTGGGCAAGAACCTACTTTATTTCACACGTGTATATTGGGGATTGTGATTGAATTGAGCAGGATAATGAATTAAATGGGGGAAGCCATGTGTAGTTCCGAGTTAAGTTACTTGGTTACATTGACATCCCATGGGGGAAAAATTGTCAAAATTACCCCTAAAAAGCCCTTAATAGGGCAGATAAAATACAGAACCCACCACCGTATGTAAATGAGGAAGAGGATTCTTCTGACAGGCACGCTTTTTTTTAAGTGTTTTGTGGTGTTTTTTTGCGATTTTATTTAAATATTTATTGGAAAGAGAGAGCGAGCACGAGCAGAGAGGATAGGGAGAAGCAGACTCCGCGTTCAGCAGGGAGCCTGACACAGGGCTCCATCCCAGGACCCTGGAGTTAAGACCTGAGCTGAAGGTAGACGCTTAACCGACTGAGCCACCCTATTGTGACTCCCCTAGCCACACTATTTAATATTTAAATGATCTCTTTTACCCTTTGCTTAAAATTGAATACTGTTGAATTACATGCACATAGGCACAGTTCATTTACATTGGGTCATTCTCAGCCTCTTCAAGAACCTAGAGAGTCCATTTGCAATAGAACCTGTTTTTCAGGGGGTGCCTGGGTGGCTCAGTGCCTTAAGCATCTGCCTTTGGCTCAGGTCATGATCCCACAGTGCTGGGAGTGAGCCCCCCATCAGGCTCCCAGCTCAGGGGCAGCCTACTTCTCCCCCTGCTTGTGCTGTCAAATAAATGAAATCTTAAAAAGAAAACACCACCACCACCTGTTTTTCAGCCAAGGGTTTCCTCTGAGGAAGATGTTCCCTGCCAATCCCAACCCCACTTATCAGTTAATCAGTGAATTAGAGGAGCATTTAAAATTCCAAATTCATTCACCAGTTCTGAGTGGTGTGCAAAGCCCTGGGTGTGGTTTATCCCTTTTCCATAAATAAAGGTCTGTCCTAAGGTTTTTTTCCTTCAGAAATTGGTTTTTACTCACTGATGCATCCCAAGTGCCACTGCCTGGCACACAGTAGACTCTCAGTTACTCTAAGATTTTTAAGTGAATCCAGTTTCCCAAAATGATTTTTTTTCCCCCCGCTGTAGTGCGATACCTCAATGCCTATACTGGAATAGTGCTACTTCGATGCCGGAAGGAATTCTACCAACTCGTGTGCTCAGCTCTTCCTTTCGTCACATACTTGGAAAACAAAGGACACCGTTACCCGTGTTTCCTCAACACCTTACATGTGGGAGGTAGGGGTGCATGTGTTATGGCTGCTGATTTCCAATAATAACAGGTCCAGGGTTCAGTCTTGACAGGCAGGTGGGTCTTCCTGCTATCCTGCCAAGAACGAGAGGCTTTCGCCTAGCTTGGAAAGTCTTTGAGGCAGACACCTTACACAAGCTGTTGACCACGGAGCTCTTTCATGTGCCAGGTACAATTAGAACATGTCAGAAGTTCCTGATTCGTTACAACAGGAGACAGCTGTTGATCTTATTGCAGAACTGCACTGATGAAGGTAAGCAACATTAGCCAGTGCCCACTGAGCAGTAACTAGCCTGGCTGAGTAAGAGGTCACTCCCAAAGACCTCTTTCATCTCTGCTCTGCTTGCCTTTGCAGGAGAACGGGAAGCTATCCAGAAGTCTGTCACCAGAAGCTGTCTACTAGAAGAGAGGTCAGATGAGGAGGAGCTTTCAGACAATGACGGTGAGGAGGCTGCTGAAGCGATGGAGTGAACCTCTCTGCAGGCTGTCCTGGGCCTGAGATTCAGGGTCCACTTGTTGGAACAGGACATTCTGGAGGGCAGCAGCATCTGCTAGTTTGCCAAACTGGATGACTGCGGACCAGAGGCCAAGGTACCAGCTCAAAATGGAGGACTTGTTCACTTAAACTGAAGTCACCTTTACCTAGCGCTGCCTGGTTAAGTGGTTCTGCAGGCAGTGAATCCCCAGTAGTTACAGATGTCTCTATCTAATTGCCTGGCTGAGTAGGTTTAATAAAAGTACGTGGCAAGGCGCCTGGGTGGCTCAGTCCGTTAAGCATCCGACTCGGTTTTGGCTCAGGTCATGATCTCACGATTGTAGGATTGAGCCCTGAGTCGGGCTCTGTGCTCAGTGTGGGAGTCTGCTTCAGATTCTCTTTGCTCTCTCCCTCGCCCCTTTCTCAAATAAATAATATCTTAAAGAAATGTACGGGGCACCTGGGTGGTTCAGTCGTTAAGCGTCTTGCCTTCGGCTCAGGTCATGATCTCAGGTCCTGGGATCGAGAGCCCCACATCGGGCTCCCTGCTCAGCGGGAAGCCTGCTTTTCCCTCTCCCACTCCCCCCTGCTTGTGTTCCCTCCCTTGCTGTGTCTCTGTCAAATAAATAAATAAATAAAATCTTTAAAAAAAAAGAAAGAAATGTACTTGGCTTCTGTAGCATTTAGTATACTTACGAAGTTCAAGCTTGGCCAGGTTTCCTTCCCTCTCTATCCCTGGCCTCAGTAGGAAGACTGGCTCCCTATAATGCTAGATGTATAGTCTCCCACTTGAGGCCTTGTGCCCCCACCCCTAGGATGAACCCTAACCAATCCAGGTTATTTAGAGTAAAATTATTAGTGAGACATGACAACTGAACTGGCACAAATCTATAGCTGGTCTCCGTACTGACCCACAGGGCCTTAAAAATACGAGATTCCTTACCAATCCTTAATCAGGTAACAGGATAACATGGTTCTTGTACTTTTCTTGGGGGGGTTGGGGGGGGTGACAAAACCTGGCCTTGCCTGACATTACAAAGCCAAGCAGCAGCTATCAACTTCGTTTTCCACAGGCTGGGCCACCTGAAACCAAGTGACACCGCCACACTCACAGAGGTTATAGGAGGATTTGGATCCACTACTTATAGGATCTGTTTTCTTGTATAACAAAACAGATGTTATTCAAAATCACTTTTACATTTAACAGAAAGATTTGTAATGTTTGCTTCAATGTGTCCCCTCACTTTCAGGGCTGGAACACCCTCATGCACCCAGGGCAGTTCCTGTCCCAGGATTTCTGAACCTCTTTAAGAATGACACGTAAAGCTAAGCCCTACTCAAGAACCCCTTAGGCCTGACACTAGGGAAAACATCGCCCCATGACGGCAGAGTGCTCAAGCTTGTAATAGCTGTTACTTTAACCTATTTAAGAAGTGTGTCTAGCTAACCTGTGATGAACTTTAAAAAACCAGAAAGCTCAAAGTTGCTTGTGCAGGTGATTTATTGCAACTGTTTGCCTTCACATTCTATTATACCTAGAGGTCACTTTATTAAGCAGCAAAATAATTCACATCACTCAAATTCCGCTCCAAAGCCATAGACTGCTCTAGAAAACAGGGAGGCAGTGGGCACCACCACTGCTTTCAGAACTGCCTGGCTCTGCCTCCAGGTGTGCCAGACTCCTGTTCCTACAGCTCAGGCCACTGTCACTCGAAATAAGCTTCATCTAACGGTTGGCAGGTTCCAGGGCTGCTTTAGTGACAATTACAGCTTTCCTTGCCAAATGAGCCACATACAAGATCCAAAACCCTCTAGCACACAGGTAAGCAACCCAGGCCCCGGCACCGTAGCCTGGCCATTTCTCAGAAGAAAAACTGCAATTCAAGCTGGGTGTCCTAAATCCATTTTATTCCCATCCTCTGTTTCTTTAACAAGAGGAAAACTAAACAGGAAAGACTCACTATTATTAAAAGACACACTAAGCGGTGTGTTGAAACCATGAGGCTCTGACATGTCAGCAGACAAGTGCTAGAACACTCGGGTGTGGGCTCACACTCAAACTTACTTGGGTTGAGCAGAACTAATTACACATGGGTCAGAAGACTAACCCTGGTAACAAACTAAAAATCTTGGCAGGAAGAGATCTCTTGTGAGTGTCAATACTTTATTTTGGTGTAAAGATGGGAAGCTGGAAAATACACTGTATTTAAATTTTTCTTGGTTCCCCCTCACGCTGTGGAAACCCCCTCCCCCCAGAGCTAATCTGTTCAAACTCAAATACTTAAAAATTACAGCAGCAAAACAAAAGCACAGGAAAAAGAAAACCAGACGGAGAAGGTAGCCGGGCCAGTAGTGTCACTTGGTGTGGACGACTGAGGTGCTGAACAGGAGCTTTTGTTTCTGTTTTTTTCTCTTCTTTCCTCCTTTCTCTTCTAAATGGAAACACAGAAAGAGCTTAGCTCTGAATGCCATCCCCTTGCCCACAGCCAGTTTTCACTCCTGAGAGTCCCAAAGAGGCAGCTAAGGGTCTAGGATGAGGACTGCCTGGATCCAGGTACCAGTCCTCGCGTGCTCCAGGTATTTGGGCAAGTCCCTTTACGTCCCTAGACCCATTTCCTCATCTGCTCTACCTGTGATAGTTCTACCCATTTAATATAGTTGGTGGGAGAATAAAATGAGCACAGTGCTAAGCACAGAGAAGGCACCCCCTAAATGTTAACGTTCTTGTCTAACTGAATAACCACAGAGTGGTGTGGGCCTCAAGCCTGACTTCTCTATTAGCCACCCTCTACCAAACTCAGGATTCTAAAATACTCTCCACAACTATGTCTTAGACGGGAAAAAATAAAGACTTTCTCAGCATTTCCCATCTAGGCCTCAAGAATTAATGTGGGGTGGCAAAAAGGTCCTATCTGACATACCGAAAGGACTATTAGCTGACGACAGCATGTGAACCTACAGGCTCAGAGAAAAGTGCCTCATTAGGGATGTCCACCACCGGATCCAGGTGGGAATGACAACCCTGTACTGAGCACTCCATTTCTTTGCCTTTACCAGAGAGGGGATCTGACGTAGCTGGTGTGTCCAGTTTCATGAAGGCCGCTTCAATAGCTTGGCTGAAGGAATTTTGGAAACTGGGCACAGGAACACGGTCTGAGTTATCACTCTCCCCATCGCTGTCCACAGGAGCAGGAGGAACTAAGCTGTTTTCATCTATAAAATGCCAGTGTTACAATTTTAGAGACGATTCTAGAGACTGACGTTCTGAAAGGGACCAAACTCCCCCTCCACCAGAAGGTCATTCTCACCTTTTTTGGGAGCAGTTTTGGGCCACACATCTGCTTTTGCTTTTCCAACCCTCAGCATCTGCCAAAGTGGGAAAGAAGGGAGAAAAAAATGTAAGTAACCAGTCCACAATTTCTTTTCCAGACTTGTGTCTTGACACTAACTGGCTAGGAGGACAAAGAATTATCACCTCTGGAAAAAAGGATTTTCCAGGTACTTCTTTCAACACACTATTTCGGTCATGTTCTCTATATCCTGACCAGTAGAACAAGCAGTGAAGTTCCCAAGGTTTAAGACCAAAGCCTGTTTTGTTCCTTAGGAAACAGGTAAAGAATAGTATATAGACAGCACAAGAGGTTCTTACTCAGCTAGGAAAACTGACTTTGTGTCACTCCCTTCTGATAAGTTTTCCCCGCTCTTCTTGGGACCCCTAAAAACATAAACCTCTTGGAATAAGCAGTGTGCAGTGCCCTATTTTAAAATGAACCACCTGGCTATTGAACTCCAGTTATTTTAAGACCAAGAAAACCAGAATAAATTTAACTTTATCCTGAAACTGCTCCAACAACCTTCATTACCCTTCAGTCTGCTTTTCCAATGGCTCCTTAATAATTATTAACTTTTAGATCCAGCCATAGACCAGATTCCTCCATGTACAGTAAAATCAGAACGATCCTTCCTGCCCCTGAATGAGGAACTCTTTCATCTCGTCTGGCCAAGGGCAGCTTCTTAATTAATGAGGGCCAGTGTGAGTCCCATCTGCCACACATGCCATGCTCAAAGCAGGGGGAATTTTATTCCTGGAAAAATACCACAAGACAAGCCCCAACAAGATTCAAATAGGAACGTCTTGTCCTAAAGTATGTGTCCCGAAGTGAGGTACGATATTATTCAAATGGAGTTGGGCTGGCAGAGGTTGATTTCATTGAATAACCTTCCTTTATCATGATCTTTTCCCTTGGTCCCTGGGAGTTTGGGGTTCAAATAATATGGCATCTGAATCATCTTACTCTTAAAAGGTCATTAAAAAATATATCACCTATGTTTTATTCTTGCCAGAATGTTTAGATGTTTAACCCGAATCTACTCATGAAAAAAAGAAACCAACAAATCCAAACTCTAGAGCTCCATATACAACAAATGGCCTGGATGCTTCAAAAATATCCATGCCATAGGAAGAAAACAAACAAACAAACAGAGGCTAGAGAAACCGGTATAGATCAAAGAAGACTAAAGAGACTTGACAAATACATACGATGAGCAATCTTTGATTGGACCTGACTGAAAACAATACAGGACCCTTGAGACAAATGGAGAAATAGAAACATATACTATATGAGGTATTTAATTAGCTGAATTTCTTTGATGTGGTCATGACAACTGTGCTTATACAGAAGAATGTCATTTGGGGGCCATTTGTCTCGTATTTGGTGGTGAACTGTCATTCATGAGGTCTGTAACTTATTTTCAACATAGTAAAACAGTAAAAAGAGAATTGTTAGCAAAATGCTAACAACTGGTGAACCTAGGTGAGAGGTAAAAGCGTTCACTATGCTATTCCTTCAACGCTTTTTAAGTTTGAAATTGTTCACCATATAATGCTGAAAAAAAGCAATGGCAATAAAACCTAGCATAAAAAAACAACTTAAGCATTTGACGTAACTCCTGCGAGCCACTTGCATAATTATCACCTCTGAAGCCTACCAGTTAATACTTGGGATTGCTCTCAATTATTTCTTCCTCCTTGACTTCAGGACTCTCCTTACCAAAGTCCAATTCCTGCTTATTTCTCAGCACACACTGCCATTCGTTGTGAGAAACCTGCTCTAAAAAACTGTTAAGCTAATGATTCCAAACTAGCCCCAAAAAGGTTAATAATAACTTCTAATGAGGGTGCTTGGCAAGCTGTCCATCCATCTTCCTTAGTTATCTCAATGCAGGAATGCTGAGTGTTGGTTTGTTGTTTTAAAGATTAATAAAGTCATCTGACATCCTTTTGTGTCGCTGCATCCGAGAGAGCAAGCTGGGTCACCAGCAGCTCTACCTGAGCCATCCAAGGAAATTTAGCCAGGGTTCTTGTTCTTGCTGTGTCTGCTCAAAGCCACACGGTCTGAGATCTGGAAATAGAGCCTCAGTATGTGCCACCAGTGTTTCCATCAGTACTCAAAGGATACAGGCTTCAGTAAATTGGATTAAGTGAACTTCCTTCAAGAGACCTACCTTAATGCTAACTCGTACATAAAATAAAAATACTTCAATTACTGGGGCGGGGGGGGGGGGGGTCTGACAAGTGTCACTAGCCTAGTGTTCCTCTAACCCAGCTGCCCAAGAAAGCTGATCTGGCTAGTTATAGAACAACCAAGACCTTTCCCTTCCCAAAATGAAGAGGAATGGTTTATTATCTGTAACAGATACACACTACCTGAATCCAAGGTCCTAGAACTAGGGACCAGCTAAAATTGACTGATGTCTCCCCAGCCTCTACAACAGTGCTTACTACGCAAGTATCTAATGATTTGCTAAATAACTGAAGCTCTGATTCTCCCTCAGCTACTCTTGGCCTCTTTCCTTGGTAAGTCTATACAGTAATATCTGAGATTAAATCCATGAGATTTCCTCTTAAAAAAAAGCTTTCCACGATTATTACCATCCATGCAACATTAGCCTGTAAGTCTCTCCTTTTCCAACGGAAAGATTTCCAGAAAGAACAAGCAGCAGAGTTCATGTTAGATACCCTTGGGCTGTTTTACAAGCAAAAGATTTACCTGGGCAAAGGAAGGGAAGGGAGAGTCTTCTTCCAGACTCCCAACGCAGAATGAAGGACTGCCCTGACTGGCAGTGGGTGACAGAGGGGTCAGCAGAAAGTCTGAAAGGAAACCAGAGACCTGATTATGTAAGTCAAGCTCCAAGGAGCTAGTCTTTTTTTTTTTTTTTTTTTAAAGATTTTTATTTATTTATTTAACAGAGATAGAGAGCACAAGTAGGCAGAGCGGCAGAGGGAGAGAGAGAAGCAGGCTCGCCGCTGAGCAGGGAGCCCAATGCGGGGCTTGATCCCAGGACCCAATGATCACGACCTGAGCCGAAGGCAGCTGCCTAACCGACCGAGCCACCCAGGTGCCCCGAGCTACTCTATCCTTTTTTTTTTTTTAAGATTTTATTTATTGGGACGCCTGGGTGGCTCAGTCGGTTGAGCAGCTGCCTTCGGCTCAGGTCATGATCCCAAGGTCCTGGGATCAAGTCCCACATCAGGCTCCCTGCTCGGCGGGAAGCCTGCTTCTCCCTCTCCCACTCCCGCTTGCTTGTGCTCCTGCTCTCGCTATCTCTGTCTCTGTCAAATAAATAAATAAAATCTTAAAAAAAAAAAAAAAGATTTTATTTATTTAATTGAGAGAGAGAGAGAGAGAGAGAGACAGCAAGAGAGGGAACAAGCAGGAGGAGTGGGAGAGGGAGAAGCAGGCTTCCCACTGAGTGGGGAGCCCGATACGGGGCTCGATCCCAGGACCCAGTGATCATGACCTGAGCTGAAGGCAGACGCTTAATGACTGAGCCACCCAGGCGCCCCGAGCTAGTCTATTCTTAAGAGAGAAAAGATGAACCCTGAATCAGGTCTGGATAATTACCAGCCCCACCTCAAAAAGCAAACCTGATGCAATTTCAATTCTGCCATGTTCTTAAAAAGTCAAGAACATGGCCCACTATTCACACTAGTGATCTAGGGAGAGAAAAGTTTAGTAGTCACAGTAATACTAGAAAGCATGGCAGAATCTATTCCCACACTAAGAAAAACCCTTTCCAAAGCAGCTGACTCTTGCCTTAGAAAAGCACATACACAAACACAATTTTTATATCACAGATAATGTAGTTAATGTTATGCAAGAGCAGCTGGATGGTGCTAGGAATGAGAGTACTTAAATAGCCTTGGCTGACTGCGGAAGGGTCTACTACTGGGAGAGTGAATAGGCCCTTCCCTCCCAGCAGTGATCAGGACAGTGGATAGACCTGTGGGAAATGCTCAACTGTAGGTCAGAAAGGATGGAGACTATTACCTAGGGAGTATCAAGGAAAAGCTTGCATCTTCATACTGGATTTTGTTTGTGTGTGTTTGTGTGTGTGTGTATTTTGGATTCTAACTGAATATTCCCAGGTCAGAGACATCTGGTCGGAACATAAAGGCTAACCTGATCACATTTTATTTTTCTTGAAACTTTTTCATTCACATAAAACTAGTCCATGACAGTCCCTAGTACCTAGGCCTGGAGAGTCAGCTGAGATGATGATGTTCTGCCATATTCCTCTGTATAGCAGCTCTCTTCTTAAACTAAAGAGCATAATGGTCATGCGCATGGCCCTCAAGATGCATGTTTCAGTCATATTCCTGTCACTAAGCCCCTGCCTTAGCCTCAGGCTCCTAATCTGCAAAGTGACAGGCATATGATCACAAGAGGGTCACCAAGAGTTTTAACATTCTGCTTTGGACATTTTATTAAAATGGCTGGCAAAGAAATACATGTTAATTATCAAAAACTATCAGCCATGTGGATGAAGATTAGAAAAGATAAATGTTTAATTTCATAACACAATACATTTTTTTTTAATTTTTATTTATTCATGAGAGACACACAGAGAGAGAGAGAGAGAGAGAGGCAGAGGGAGAAGCAGGGTCCCAAGGAGCAGGGAGCCCGATGTGGGACTCGATCCCAGGACCCTGGGATCGTGACCTGAGCCGAAGGCAGATGCTTAACCATCTGAGCCACCCAGACGCCCAATACATTCTCTCTTTAAAAAAGTATTTTAAAAGGCTAAAGCCTCTTTGAACAACCTCTGAATCCTTACCTCACTTCCTAGAGTAAAACACCATTACCAGTTTGGAACATAATCATCTCAGTATTTTTTTTTTTTTTTAAGATTTTATTTATTTGACAGAGAGAGACACAGAGAGAGAGGGCACACAAGCAGGGGGAGTGGGAGAGGGAGAAGCAGGCCTCCCGCAGAGCAGGGAGCCTGATGCGGGGCTCGATCGCACGACCCTGGGATCATGACCTGAGCTGAAGGTAGACACTTGACAACTGAGCCACCTAGGCACCCCTCAGTATTTTTCTACACATTTAGATATATAAACCCATAACAAAATGCTGATTTTTCTGTTCTTTTAAAATCCACAAATGTGGGGTGCCTGGCTAGTTCAGTTGGTATACAACTTGATCTCAGGATCATGAGTTCAAACCCCACATCGGGCATGGAGCCTACTTAAAAAAAATAAATAAAACCCCCAAGTGGTATCATACTTTGTCTTGTTCTACAACCTCCTTTTATAAGTCCACCCATTAGTTTATGAAGATGGCTATTAACCTCTTCAATAGGTGTAAAGTATTTCATAGTATAAATGCTATACAATTCAGCCATTACCTTACCACCAGATTTCATAAGCTTCCCCCACCCCCATTATAAACAATGCTACAATAAGGAGACATGTACAAAGACGCTTAGGCATACAAGGGGATTATATCACAAGTATAAACTAGAAATAAAACAGCTGGGTCACAGGGAAGAATCTAAGTAAAACTGTCCTGCCATATGAACTGCCCTGAGGTTTTGAGATTTTTAGAAGACAGCAGGGTATAAAGTAGTCAGTACCGCCAATGGGAAAGGTGAATCAAATGGCAAAAATCTGACGTACCTCAGGAATATATTAACTACCCAAAGTAATGTTAGTCACCTAAAGATCCCACCATGCTGAGTAGGTCAGAGTTATAAATTCAGACACCAGGGCTTTGCTTAAGGTCTGTGGCTGGTGGCCAACTTCATTCTTTAAATCCCAGTTCATTTACCTGCTTGGGAACCTGGACTTCTGCTAAGAGGAGAAAGGGAGAGGGCACCATGGCCCTCGGTGCTGGTGGGACCCAAAGCAGAACCGGAAGTGCAGGTATAGGAATTGAAGGCAGGAAACTGCTGTAGATTCTCTAGGGGAATGTGGACTTCTGGGTCTGCAAAGAAAAGATGAGAATGGTAGGCCCATTTAGAATATTCCTCAAATCTTTTCCAACAGTTGAGGACCATCAATATGAATCCCCCAAGGATCTAAAAAAAGGATATAAACAGAAGCTTTAAAACCCAAATTTAGGGGCACCCGAGTGGCTCAGCAAGTGAAGCGTCTGACTCTTGATTTCAGCTCAGGTCTTGACCTCGTGGGTCGTGAGATAGAGCTCACCATGGGCTCCACCCTCAGAGGGGAGAGTCTGCTTGGGGATTCTCTCCCTCTGCCCTGCCCCCTCTATCCCCCCCCCCACTTGCCTGTGCATGTACTCTCTCTGAAATACATAAATCTTTTAAAAAAGTGAAATAAAAAATAAAAATAAATAAATCCCTTGTTCTTACTATTCCTAATTGAAGCTAGACGATAAACATGGGGCTTAACTATATTATTCTATATACTTGTCTTTGAATATTTCCATAATAAAGAAGGCAAAACAAAAAGCCCCTGTTCCTGAAACACCAGTTTTTCAAACATTTGGGAAATGTCCCAAACAGCTATATAGCACTGGGACCCCAGCTATATACTTAACCTAGTTTAAGAAGTAAAAAAAAATTTAAGATTTTTTTTTTTTAATTTATTCATTTGAGACACACAGAGAGAACATGAGCAGGGGAGAGAGGTAGAAGGAAAGGGAGAAGCAGACTCCCTGCTGAGCCAGGAGCCTGACGTGGGGCTCGATCCCAGGACCCCAAGATCATGACATGAGCCAAAGGCAGACACTTAACCAACTGAGCCACCCAGGTACCCCAGAGAAGTAAAATTTATGTTTACCATACTATATGTAGTCAAAAACAGTGAAGTCCTTTCCTAGCAGAGGACTCAATTCTTTGTTTTCTGGAGGAAAGTAGGCCCTCATGTCACACTAATCTCCTGGGTTCAATGAAGCTTATGTTGGAGGAGCAGATCAAAAGACTCTATACTTACTGGTATGAAAATCTAACCTGGACATATTTCCTAGTTTGTCAAGGTTTCTACTATACAGACCCCCTTGGCAGACATGCTCTACTAAGTATAGATGTCCCCTTTAATACAGTCAAAGGTGGGATCAATGTTCCATCTAGAGTGCACAGGAGACAAATTAGACACCAAATTCAGATCTCCAATTCTCTTCCCAGAACATGTTTTTTCACCACTACGCCAAGGATGAATTTAACCTCATCCCTTAAGAGCTATGAGCTTTGACTCACATTAACCCACTTAATTCTCAAACAAGCCTATGAAGGAGGTACCCTCATGATTCACATATAAGAGTTGAAGAAAACAAGTGGCAGGGCTGAGATGTGAACCAAGCAGTCTGGCTCCTGGGCCCAAGCACTGAGACGCTCCTAAGACCACGCACAGCTGTACTAATCAATTTTGGGAGCTCCTGAACTTACACTTGCCCTGTTTCTTGTTCTCCTCCATCTCAATCCTGCACTCCCGGCGGCGCTCCTCCCGAGCCTTCTTCTGGCGCTGACGCTTCCTCTTCTCAATGTCATCTGTGGGTTGGTCAGATGGTGAGGAGGCAGCCCAAGGACAGCCTAACCATTAACTCCTCCCAGGTGACTAGTAGCTAAGGCCACATAAGGGAACAGCTGGACTAGATGAATAGATGGAGTGTTTCTGGAGGTATGGAGGCTCATGATGGAGCTCCTTAATTCCTCCCACACTGGGTTTCCAGTCAGAAGAACCCCTGAACTCCTCCATGAAGAGAAGCAGAGTGGGTGCATTCTTACCTGAGAATATCTCTAGGGTTTCCTTAGAGACCACAGGAGGCTGCAGAGCCAGCTCACAGATGCTGAACTCACAGGTGAGCGGCAGGTGAGAGAGGTATCTATGGCGCTGTCGAACGTCCTATCATGGAAAAGGGACCAAAACTCAACTAACACCGGGCCAGGCTCTGAGGACAGAGGTTCCCACCCCAGACAGCCAACAGTACGCACACTCACACACAGCACGGGGGCTCAAAGAGCAGTACTCAAGTTACCACCATTTTGCAAAGCCAAACAGAAGCTGTCAATTAACATACAGTAAGGTAGAATGAGCAACCAAAAGGCAGTTTTTAGGTTTGTGCTGCAAATGAATAAATTGGTAATAAATAATCTAAAGCTGATCAGCTATTTCTGATTTTCTGGGGCCCACAACTGAGGGGGGAGAACAAGGGGAGATAAAAGAGTATTTGAAAACCTGGGATCCACAGACAAAATTAATGGTAACTGGGAAGGCAGATAAAGCAGATTTCCCTATGAATAAAGCTTGGCCTGAAACAGTGAAAAAATGAAGGCCATCTGGGGCACCTGGGTGGCTCAGTTGGTTAAGCAACTGCCTTCAGCTCGGTTCATGATCGTGGAGTTCCCAGGATCGAATCCCACATCGGGATCCCGGCTCAGCGGGGAGCCTGCTTCTCCCTCTGCCCTCTCCCCTCTCATGCTTTCTCTCTCTCTCGCTCTCAAATAAAATCTTAAAAAAAAAAAAAATTAAGGCCATCAATTTAAGTTTCTTTTCCATTCATTTTCTGCATGTTTGATGGAAAATTTATGGTACTCATAGTCTCTAATTTTGAGGCTTGTAACAAATTTGTGATCAACACAGGGATAACTCTCAAAGGGTAAAAACTCACATATGTAAATTATCAGACAATAATTAACAGGTTATCTGCTGAGCCAAAAATGTGTTTCAAGCCTGTATAACCTAGTGTAGAGCATCCAAGAACTTTTCGATTCCTTGGACATTTTTCCCAAGCCATACAGAAAAAGAGAAAAACAAACTCATCTTGAGTGAAACTGGGACAAACCACAACAAATGAGCCTGTGAAGCAGAGAGCAGTGGCGACTAACAGAACCTCAGCATGATAAGGGAGCACGATCTAATCTCTCAAAACTTTGCGGGCATCGTCAGTGACAAAAATAGACTTACAAATGCAAGAGCTACGATCCCTGAAGGATTGGGAGCATGGGCTGGCTAGCCCACGTCAAAGAGAACAGATTGATGGCACTCCGGAACCGTGCCCCTCAGGGCAGGCAGGACCTTACCTCGGACATGGAGTAGCCGGCAATCTCCACCACTACCGCCGAGATCTTCTCCGGGCTCTGCTCCAGGCTGCCGTACTCCCTCACAAGGCAGCGCACATTCACAGGGTGCAGGAACATGTGCTGCCCGTCCTCCGCTGAAGACAAGCGCTCTCTCACACAACAGTCTTGGCCGGTCCTCAAGAGAGGGCCCCCCGCAGAGCTAGGCCTGCCTCTCCCTCCCCAAGGCCAAAGGCACAACAGACCCAAGCGCCCACAACCAGCAGCAATACCTCCTCCTGCTAAGAGGCCAGGTCATATGGCTGAATCCTCTCTATGGCAACCCAGCCCTCCTCTCGGGGACACTCACCTTGGTAAAAGTAGTAACAAGGAGAGCTGCTCAGGTGTGTGAAGCCTGGCTTGGTGATGGGTTCCTGCTGGCTGGACTCAGGACAAATGGTCCCCTCTCCGAGACTGTCATCTGCTAACTCTGAGTCATCACAGGCCTCGGGCTCTGGGTCAGACACTGCTTCCTCTTCCTCCACCAGAGGGAGAGCAAGAGGACGAGGGGAGCCCAGAGAACAAACTTCGGTGGTCTCTTCATCAAAAGCAGACAGATACTCTAGCACACCCTGTTGGGACAAATTCTACATCAAAAGAAAGTACATGTGGCAAAGGCAGGCACCGGAACCCAGTTCTCTGGATGTTTTTTTTTAGCTGTCACATTCACAGATTTAACATCCCTGGGTGAAGAACTAATAAGCACGCAGGAAATCTCACAGCCCCTCCTCCCCCCACAAAGTCCAGCGCCTACAACCTCAACAGCAGCACTGACGCACGGCAGCCGTTTAGTCTGGAACAGGGACACACTCACCTTCCTGGGTTGAAAAGCGGACTCCTTCGCCAAGGGAGCCATCAGCACCAGTTGTTCCAGGGCCGGCACAACACCAGGGACCTCCCTTCCGCTTTCAGTCAATCCTGACAGAGCCTCTTCCCGAGTCTAGACCACCAGAGAGAAGACCAGAGAAAGCTAAGTTTCCAGAAACACTGAATTTGGCAAGGGCTTACAACGGACTCTCTCCACAGAAGCGTAAGTTAAAAGGCAACAAGACCCAATGGGAAGAGTGCTCCCATCCCCCCTCACTGCTTTATTTTTCTCCACAGCATTCATTTCATCTAATCCTATATATTTTGATTATTTATTTTGACTATTTTCAATCTTGCTCTTAGAACGTAATTGCCAGGGGTGCCTGGATTTTAAGTACTAAAAATCCTCAATCTTCAAAGGAAACAGGAAGCAAAAAGCACTTGGTACCCAAATGGGATGGTATTCTGCTTAGAATCTGTGACAGTGACAATGGTAACACTACACAAAAGCTTCCTGAATACAAATCCAAGAACACGGAACTCATCTTCTTGTCTTTTTTTTTTTTTTTAAAGATTTTATTTATTTATTTGAGAGAGAGAGAGAGCGCAAGAGGGAGTAGGGTCAGAGGGAGAAGCAGACTCCCCGCCGAGCAGGGAGCCCGATGTGGGACTTGATCCCGGGACTCTGGGATCATGACCTGAGCTGAAGGCAGTCGCCTAACCAACTGAGCCACCCAGGCGCCCTCGTCTTCTTGTCTTTATAAGCTACGCTTAAAGAGCCCCAGTGCAGGAGGCAGGGGTTTGGCCAACACCCACCTCAACCTGGACAGCTCTACTTCTTTTTTTTTTTTTTTTTTTTTTAAGATTTTTATTTATTTAACAGAGAGAGAGAGAGAGAGAGAGAAAGCATAAGTAGGCAGAGCGGCAGAAAGAGGGAGAGGGAGAAGCAGGCTCTCCGCCGAGCAGGGAGCAAGATGCGGGGCTCGATCCCAGGACCCTGGGATCATGACCTGAGCCAAAGGCAGCCGCTTAACCGACTGAGCCACCCAGGCGCCCCTGGACAGCTCTACTTCGATACAGCTTTTCTTCTCTGAAATGCACTTGAACAAATACTCTGCATTACAGGAAAAAAACCAAATTAAATACACAGTACCCTGCCAGAGAAGGCTCAGAAAAGACGAATTCAAATAACAGCTTCACCTCTTATTAGTTATATGTCCTCAAGCAAATTACCTTACGTAACCCATGACTCCATCTCCTCATCCATGAAAGGGGATAGTTGTATCTATCACACCAGGATATGACGCTTAAGTGAGATAAATGTAAATAGCGGTACCTTCGCACAGGGCCTGTCACATGCCAATCGCTCAATAAACAAGGCCTTCTGTTGCTCTAATTAAGATCTGTAATTCTCAAAATATGGTCTGAGGATGAACAACATCAAAATCACCCTGGTACGCATTATAATGCAAATTATTAAGCCTACTTCGCCCAGCCTTGACTGAATCCACTTCTCAGGGTGGAGCCCGACAACCAGGGATTCTGACACCTACTAAAGGGTACAGAGCTTGGGAAATTCTGTACTTGGGGAATTCCTGCTGCTCCAGATCCTCAGCCGGCATTGCTGGGGCCTGCTGGGTAGGCCACACTTTCTTCAAAACGCCCCTCAAATACAACATCTCTAAAAATACATCCAAGTGTTTTCTTAGGGAAAAAAAAGTCTTCCTTGCTTAACTCAGAACCTAAGAGACTTCAGTGACTCAACTAGATCATTTAGTTTCTTCTATAAGATCATTTTAGTTTCTTCCTTTCAGCTCCAGAGAGCACTTTGAAAACCACTAGGTGCCCCCGTCAAAATAAAAAAAACAACACTAGGTCAGCCCTTCCCTCCCATCACCAAAACGCAGAGCAAACGGGCTTTTTTAGCCTTTCTCTGGTCACTATCTTAAATGTGGGACCGAGGTAACTTATCCCCACCTTCCTATCCTGTTTCCAGACATCGTCTTACCTTGAGCTCCTGAATAGCTGCCTCAATAAAGCAGGACTCGGGAGTGTGCTTCTCCTCTGCCAGTTGCTGCTCCAGAGCTACTTTCTCTTCCCGAACTACCCGGCGCAGCACCTGCTCCTTAGAGGCCAGCAGCAACTTGGAGTACTGGCTGTGCTGCTCATCTACAGGAAAGCCAGCAAGATCACAAAAATGCAACATTCAAAGCAACCGCATGGCTACAGAGAACTTTTACACACAGCTTTTTTGCCCTAAGTTGTAAAGATGGAGTAATTTAATGTAACTTTCTAAAAAATAATTAAACAATGACTTTAATACAAGGTTTCTAACTCTGACCCCATTTTATAAAGAATCTAAGAAAACAAAAGATGCAGTAAAAAAAATTTTAGCCAAACAATATTCAATAATTACATCATCATCTATAATATCAAAAAAGCTACTACCAACCAGTATGGTCCAATAACAAAGAAATAGTTAATGACATGATGGCATATTCATTAAAGAGAATTTTGCAGACATTAAAAATGGTTTTCTGGGGCACCTGGCTGGCTCAGTTGGGAGAGCACACAACTCTTAATCTCCAGGTCATGCGTCTGAACCCCATGGTGGATGCTGAGATTACTTAAAATAAAAATAAATAAGCTTTGCACAAACAATGAATCATGGAACACTTCATCTAAAACTAATGATGTAATGTATGGGGATTAACATAAGAATAAAAAATTTAAAAAAATAATAAATAAATAAATAAGCTTTAAAAAAATTTTTTTAAATAAAAACGGTTTGCTGAGGACACTTACTGACATGTAGAAATACATTACGTGAATAAAATGCAGACACCAAACTAGAAAATTTAATCCTAATCTCCCAAAAATATACATGCATAGAAAAAAATCTACAATTTTGGGGTACCTCTGGGTAAAAGGATCGTGGAGGATTTATTTCCTTTACTTCCCTCCCCCATATTTTCTGTACTTTTTCAAAAGTTTAAGACAATATTCTTTTGAGAAACCCTCCAAATACCATTTCCGCACTCTCCCATCCTAGTACCCACCCAGAAATAACCATTTACAAATTTCAATATGTATTCATCACATCTTTCTCTATACATTTATATACCCATGTTCATTTAAAGAAATAAAGGTTTATCCATAAATTATAAACTCTAAGCTTTGTTCATTTTTCATCCAATGTGTGCTACAATCTCTCAAAATATTAATACAGAGATCCAATTTTTACCTTCTGTATTGTGCTCCACAATATGATACCCTCTACTTTGAATAAGTTCCTTATGGAACATCCAGCTTATTGTCAACTTCTATTATGGTTTTGTTTTTTTTTTTAAGATTTTATTTATTTACTTGAGACAGAGAGAAAGAGAGAGAGAGAGAGCACATGAGAGGGGGGAGGGTCAGAGGGAGAAGGAGACTCCCTGCTGAGCAGGGAGCCCGATGCGGGACTCGATCCCGGGACTCCAGGATCATGACCTGAGCCGAAGGCAGTCACTTAACCAACTGAGCCACCCAGGAGCCCAACTTCTATTACGTTTTAACAAAAAATCCTTATACATGCTCTCTGGTGCAAATAATTTCCTTATGATATTTAAATATAAATGCTGGATCAAAGGTTGTGCTTTTTTTTTTTATTAAGTTTTATTTAAGTAATCTCTATACCCCATGTGAGGCTCAAACTCACAACCCTGAGATCAAGAGTCCCACGTTCCTCCAACTGAGCCAGCCAGGCACCCCTGTGCATATTTTAAATACTACCAAATTGCTCCCCCCAAAAGGCTACATCAATTTATATTGTCACCAAGAACAACAGTACTCATTTTCCTACCCCTCCCAAAACCTGGTATTTCCAACATTTTTTTTCTTTTTTGTGTGTGTCAATCTGATAGGCATTTTGATTTACATAATTTCTTTTTTTTAAGATTGTATTTATTTACTTGACAGAAAGACAGCAAGAGTGGGAACACAAGCAGTGGGAGTGGGAGAGGGAGAAGCAGGCTTCCCGCCAAGTGGGGAGCCCGATGCGGGGCTCGACCCCAGGACCCTGGGATCATGACCTGAAGGCAGATGCTTAACGACTGAGCCACCCAGGCGCCCTGATTTATATACTCTTAGCAAAGCTAAATCTCTATAATTCTTGGGAGGTATTCCAATATCCTTTTCTAGAAAATGCTTTGCACATGCTTAGCCCATTCTTCTACTGGGTTGTTAATCTAATTTATAGGACACTAATATGTCCTGTACATTAGTTTTAAATGTGTAAATCTGGGACACTTGGGTGGCTCCATCAGTTAGGCATCTGCCTTAGGCTCAGGTCATGATCCCAGGGTCCTGGGATCAAGTCCCGCATCGGGCTCCCTGCTCAGCGGGGAGCCTGCTTCTCCCTCTGCCTGCTGCTCCTCCTGCTTGTGCTCTCCCTCTCTGACAAATAAAATCTTTAATTAATTAATTAAAAATGTATAAATCTTCCCCTAGTTTATCACCTGTTGACTTCAAGGAATCTTGTCAGATTTCATTCTTATAAAATCACATTTATTTATTTTTTCTTTTATAGCATCTATGGTTTTAGCCTGGTTCAAAAATCCATCCCTGAGGATTTATAAAGATACTGTCCTATATTTTTTCTTAACGGTTTTAGATTTTTAAAAATTCAGTTACTCAATCCATGAAGAATTGATTTTTATGAATGGTATGAGACAGGGATCTAACTTTTTCTTCCATGAGAAGAATCAATTGTTTCAATACTATTTACTGAGAAATATCTTTTGCCCAGAGACTGAAATGCCACTTTAATCAATACTCGTTTCTGCAAGGAATACAGAACATACAGCCCTGTGCACTTTCCTCACTGTGAATACTTCTCACATTCTATATTCTAATTGCCTGGCCACCAGTATGTCTCTTCTACTAGACTACTGTAGAGTTCCTTGACAGGCACCATTTCAACAAAATGAAAAATTAAGGGGTGCCTGGGAGGCTCAGTCAGTTAATCGGCTGCCTTTGGCTCAGGTCATGATCCCGGAGTCCCAGGATTGAGCCCCGCATCGGGCTCCCTGCTCAGCGGAGACCTTGCGTCTCCTCATGCTCTCTCCCGCTCTCTCTCTCTCAAATAAGTGAATAAATAAATCTTTAAAATTAAAATATATATAACTGAATCATACTTGAAACCAAGGGTTAAGCTGCTCTCTGCCAACTCCCCTCTAACCTACCAGAATTCTAAAACTGATCTGGAAATGCTAGAAATGGCTTGCCCCAAAGGCTCAATTTCTGATTAGAAAGATATATTCAGTAGCCTTAAAGGATGTACCCAGGATTATTTACCCCCTAAATTAATAGAACTCACCTCCTAGATGAATAGGATGGTCTACATTCATCCATTTGGATTTGGGCAAAGCCAACAAGACCCCTTTCTCCCTCTTCATCAGCTGCATCGTAATGGTATCACCAACAACATACTGCCGTGACTCTGTGGCAACAACACTGTAACATGGACATTTAGATGGAAAAGAGCAAGGAGTCAGCAGATGGGGGTCTAATCTATTAAATGTCTCCATCTCACCTCTTGAGATCCTTCTTATGCACAGAACTGTAACAGATGGGACATTTACTCCAGGTCTTCTCACTCAGTGAAAGGTAGTGCAGAATGCATGCCCAGCAGAAGATGTGTCCACAACGGGTTATCTTGGCTGCAGTAGGTGGATATAGGCATATTGGGCAAGATGGCACTTCATGGCTACAAATGCGCTGAAACAAAACAGAACCACAAGTTACACTGCTTTCAAACTGACATAGCACTGTCAAAGTTAAAGTCTCTTCTCTCCCATCCCCAACCCTGTACATCTCCTACTCAATACATCTTCACAAAACTGTTCAAAAATGCAGGTATATTAAAAAGAAAAAAAAAGCAGGTATATAATAACACTTTAAGTAAATCATTAAGGAAACCACAATGGCTTAATAACAATGGGCACCTGGGTGGTTCGGTCAGTTAAACATCCCTTTTTTTTTTTTTTTTTTTACAATTTTATTTATTTATTAGAGAGAGAGAGAGAGCATGAGGGGGGGAAAGTCAAAGGGAGAAGCAGACTCCCCACTGAGCAGGGAGTCCAATGCAGGACTCGATCCTGGGACTCCGGGATCATGACCCAAGCCAAAGACAGTCACTTAACCAACTGAGCTACCCAATCACCCCATAAGCATCCCACTCTTGATTTCAGCTCAGGTCATCATTTCAGAGTTCTGGGATCAAGCCCCACATGAGGCTCCCCACTCAGCACTGAGTCTGTCTCCTTCTCCCTATCCACCCTCACCCCATGTGTACACACATGTGCATGCTTTCTCTCAGTAAGTAAATCTTCAAAAATATATATATATGTATATATATACACACATATATAACTACACAAAAGGTATTTTAGAGGTTCCACAAAGGGAAAAAGTGACAAAAATCAATATATGAATCAATATACGATTTCTTTTGTTTTAAAGATTTTATTTATTTATTTGACAGAGACAGCGAGAGAAGGAATCCAAGCAGGGGGAGTGGGAGAGGGAGAAGCAGGCCTCCTGTTGAGCAGGGAGCCCGATGCAGGGCTCAATCCCAGAACCCTAGGACCATGATCCGAGCCGAAGGCAGACACTTAACAACTGAGCCACCCAGGCGCCTCTATGATCCCCTTTTTTTTTTTTTTTTAGATTTTATTTGACAGAGAGAGACACAGCAAGAGAGGGAACACAACCAGAGGGAGTGGAGAGGAAGAAGCAGGCTTCCTGCCGAGCAGGGAGCCCGATGTGGGGCTCGAACCCAGGACCCTGGGATCATGACCTGAGCCGAAGGCAGATGCTTAACAACTGAGCCACCTAGGCGCCCCTGATCCCATTTTCTTAAAAATATTTTATTTATTTGAGCGAGAGAGCGAGCGAGAGAGATAACATGAGCAGTGGGGAGAGGGAGAAGCAGGCTCCTGGCTGAGCAGGTAGCCCAATGTGGGACTTGATCCCAGAACCCTGGGATCATGACTTGAGCCAAAGGCAGACGCTTAACTGACGGAGCCACCCAGGCGCCCCTATGATCCCATTTATTAAAAAAAAGATTTATATGTACACATACACAAAGGCATTAAAAAGGTCAAGAGGTAATGTACCAGTAATTTTCCAGCAGAGAAGTCAATGAGACTCACTTTATATGCATCTTTATTTTTTAACCAATGAATATAAAACTTAGGTTTCATAGGACTTCTTTGTCATTCTCTGATGATTTTATGGATTTTCATACTTAATGGGAAGCCAGGCTTTGAGGCCTACAGTTTTGGTTTTTTTTGTTTTTAAAGATTTTCTTTATTTGAAAGAGCTAGACACAGCGAGAGAGGGAACACAAGCAGGGGGAGTGGCAGAGGGAGAAGCAGGCTTCCCGCGGAGCAGGGAGCCCGATGGGGGGCTCGATCCCAGGACCCTGGGATCATGACCTGAGCCCAAGGCAGGCGCTTAACAACTGAGCCACCCAGTCGCCCCGAGGCCTATAGTTTTATTTTTTATTTTATTTTATTTTTTTTTAAAGATTTTATTTATTTATTCATTAAAGACAGAGAGAGAGAGGGAGGCAGAGGGAGAAACAGGCTTCCCGCGGAGCTGGGAGCCCAATGCGGGACTCGATCCCAGGACCCTGAGATCATGACCTGAGCCAAAGGCAGACGCTTAACTACTGAGCCACCCAGGCGCCCGCGAGGCCTATAGTTTTAAAAAGTATTTTACATCCCTATAAGCTAAGAGCAGCAAGGAAATACCCAGAGCTCCTAACTTCAACAGAAAACAAAACGCAACAGTGGCTTAGACAGCAGTGCAGCTAATGGCTCATTCACCTGCCACAAGACTGAGGCCTAATTTGATACTGATTACTACAAACGGCTACCAACGAAGCCATGTCCATGCAATGAGCCCATCCTAGTTCAGGAGGGTAACCAGAGTTGCTCATATATTTCCCTGGTTCCTTCTTCCCAGGAGAGGTCGTAGAAAGGACTGCTTTGATACCTTTTTTTTTTTTTAAGATTTTATTTATTTGAGGGCGCCTGGGTGGCTCAGTCGTTAAGCGTCTGCCTTCGGCTCAGGTCATGATCCCGGGGTCCTGGGATCGAGCCCCACATCGGGCTCCCTGCTCCGCAGGAAGCCTGCTTCTCCTTCTCCCACTCCCCCTGCTTGTGTTCCATCTCTCGTGCGCTCTGTCAAATAAATAAATAAAATCTTAAAAAAAAAAAAAAAGATTTTATTTATTTGACAGAAAGAGACATAGCAAGAGAGGGAACACAAGCAGGGGGAGTGGGAGAGGGAGAAGCAGGCCTCCCGCGGGGCAGGGAGCCCGATGCGGGGCTCGATCCCAGGACCCCGGGATCATGACCTGAGCCGAAGGCAGACGCTTAACGACTGAGCCACCAGGAGCCCCTGCTTTGATACCTTTTAGATGAGAGTCCTCCAATTCCCCAATCCTGCAGACCAGCCAATTAGAGAGCACAAAACGAACTCGAGGAGAAACCAGAACTGATCTCTGGGGAATGTCTACAGTGTGGCCATGCAGAAAAATGTATCAACAGTGAAACCAGCCAACAGCTGCTGTGTCACCCTGGTCCATTTCCTCAGTTCTTTCTCCCACTAACAGCTTACAAGCTTAGCTGAGCTACTCACCACTTGTTCCACAAAGTCCCAGTTGACTAAGATATCAGGATCAGCAAAATGAACTGTGTAGTCCTGGTCTTCAGACACTACAAATTGGCAGCTGGAAATAGAGAAAAAGACAAGGAAAAGGCAGACTGTCAGAATCCACCAACATGCCATCAGCAGAGAGTCATTACTCCTTCACTTAGTAATCAAATACAGGCCATCAGCAGCCATGGTTTGTGAAGCACTGAACTAGGACTTCAGCCTCAGTTCTCAGCCCTGGCTCTGGAGGGAATCCAAAGACTTGGCAAGTAGGAGTCTAAAACCATGAACTCTGTTTCTTCCGCTTCCAAGCCCAGCCAAGCTGCTGTAGGCCTCCCTGAGCTAAAATTAACCCAGACTGTGGCTCCATCAATCAGCAGGGAGCCAGATTTCTTCCCTCCCTGTGAGAAACCTCAGCACACAGCTAATCTTCAAGGCAGTAGAAAGACTATTCTCAATCATCTGACTACCAATTTATATAAGGTACTAACCAGTTACTTCAGTCTAGATCCAAGGTCAAAACTTACATTATGACTAATGACACACAAAAGGAAACAAAAGGGATCAGTATTTGAGCAAATATATGCCAAACACTCCAACCTGTCATCCAATTCTTCCTTAAGTAATTCTCCTCCTTTATAGGGAGAAGCTGAGTCCCAAAGTGGCTAAACAAATTACCCAAGGTTGAAGGCCAAAATAAAATTCAAATTTGGGTCCAATTCCAAAGCAAACACTTTTACTACCTCATCATGACACTAAAAGCATTAATTTTATCATTAATTTATTTAAGTATTATATTCTTTTAAACATCAAGAACATCCGCTTGAAAAGCTGTTTTTCAACACTTGCCACCGCCCCCCCTCAAAGAGAGAGAGAGAGAGAGGGAGAGGAGAAAAAGAACCAGATCAATCCCCTTTCTACCTCTCTCCCACAGCAGTTTTTTTGTTTGTTTTTGTTTTTTTAAAGATTTTATTTATTTTTTTGACAGAGAGAGACATAGCGAGAGCAGGAACACAAGCAGGGGGAGTGGGAGAGGGAGAAGCAGGCTTCCCGCAGAGCAGGGAGCCCGATGTGGGACTCGATCCCACTGGGATCATGACCTGAGCCGAAGGCAGACGCTTAACGACTGAGCCACGCAGGCGCCCATCTCCCACAGCAGTTTAAAAGAAGCCTCTTCTGGGGCACCTGGGAGGCTCAGTCAGTTGAGCAACTGCCTTTGGCTCAGGTCATGATCCCAGGGTCCTGGGATCGAGCCCCAAGTTGGGCTCCCTGCTAAGAGGGGAGTCTACTTCTCCCTCTGCCCCTTACCCTGCTCGTGCTCTCTCTCTCTCTCAAATAAATATTTTTAAATAAAATAAGAGCTTCTCCTAAATTAATAAAATAAAAGATGCTTCTCAGCTCCAGCAACTGCCCAGAGGCTCAACTGCACTTTCCTCCTAAGAGCAGACATACTCACTTGGCCTGTAAAAAGAGTTCCTTGTTAAAAGGCTTATGCCCCCACTTGTTCCTTTTTCCCCAGCTGCCATGTCCACTGCTTTCAAAGTGACCCGCCTGGCCACGGGGTTCAAAAGTGAAATTCAACAAGTGGTTCAGATTGATCTTCTTCGGACCAGAGAACTGGGCAGGGCTAAACTCTGCCCTTTGAGCCTCTGCTACCTAGAACAAGAATGAATCAAGTATTTCAGATTATTACTTATTTATAGCAGAAACTAGCACAAACCCTCCTTCTACATGGCTTAAAATACTAACTAAATGAAACACAGGCTTAAATATCTTCCTAGGAGACGGTAATACAAAAGTCCACCTAAGATGTGGATGCGAGTGGAGAGGGGGACCAGGGCCTTTAACATACAATTACTTAAACTGTTCAGCCTGGCCTGTGAAAAGGCAATTAACCATTAAGTGACAAAACCCAACATGAACTCCTCTAGCTATCTTGGAAGTACAAAGATTTACTTACTGGATTAATCTTTTGACAGTCCCATAGGACTCCTACACCTTCAACTCTTATTAGCTACTTGTTCTTTGGTTTGTTTCTGGCAAAAGCGAGTCTGTGGAACTATACTCTGGAGGTGGCTTGCAGGCAGCTGCTAACTGCCATGGGCTTCAGGATCCTGCCAGAGAGACCTCCTGTGTAAGACACGCACTGCTGTTCATTGTTAATTAAAACTGACGGAATTAGAACATGTAGGCAGACTACCTCTGTGTCCAGAAATAAACCCAATCAGCAGATTCAGAAACAGTTTAGAAAGTGGCAAGAAACCACATGGGAGAAATACCACTGCACACAAAGATGGAAGAAATCATGCTGGGGCTTTTTCGGCTCTTTATTTTTTAAGGCTTTATTTATTTGACAGAGAGAGAGAGAGAGAGCACAAGCCAGGGGGGGGGCGGCGGCAGGCAGAGGGAGAGGGAGAAGCAGGCTCCCCGCTGAGCAAGGAGCCTGATGTGGGGCTCGATCCCAGCACCCTGGGATCATGACCTGAGCCGAAGGCAGACGCGTAACCGACTGAGCCACCCAGGCGCCCCTTTTCTTGGCTCTCTTAACATTCCCAAATTGAAATGGTAGCTACCTGTTAAGTCAGCTAGTACATTTCCTAATCCCAATTTCTCATTTAATGTTATGAACAATTTGCCATGTCAGTCATATTAGCATATAGTCACTTTAAATCCACTACATCATATAGGTATACTATAATGCCCCCTGTAGGACACACTATTCATAGCTTCTCCTCTGTAACAAAATCATGTTATGATAAACCTATTTTGGGATAGATCTTTGTGCACAAATATTTGGCCACACGAAAATATTTCTTCGGAATGTATAGTAGGAATTACTAGGTCAAAGGAAATATAAATTTAAGGCTTTTGCTACCTAATCAAATTTAGAGATTAGTAAGCAGCACCTGCACAGACGTCATAAAGAGTACAGGGGCGCCGGGGTAGCTCAGTTGGTTAAGCATCCAACTCTTGATTTCGTCTCAGGTTATGATCTCAGGGTCGTGAGATGGAGCCCCACATCAGGCTCCATGTTTGGCACAGAGTCTGCTTGAGATTCTCTCTCCCTCTTCCTCTGCCCCTCCCCCTGCTCATGCTCTCTAAATAAAATAAATAAAATCTTAAAAAAAATCTAAGAGTACAGAAAGGGATATGGTGAAAAATACCTTACACTGCAGAGGCAACCAATATGACCTGAGATATCCTACGCATATAGACCAAAGTATACGACCCTTATGATTAAGTACAGTGGCAATGGGGCGCCTGGGTGGCTCAGTTGGTTAAGCGTCTGCCTTCGGCTCAGGTCATCATCCCAGAGTCCTGGGATCGAGCCCCACATCGGGAATCCCTGCTCAGCGGGGAGCCTCCTTCTCCCTCTCCCTCTGCTGCTCCCCCTGCTTGTGCTCTCTGTCAAATAAATAAAATTAAAAAAAAAAAAAAAAAAAGTACAGTGGCAAACCATAAACAATTTCCTTTCATCTCAACAATAGATCCTGGGAGACAACACCTCCGACTGTTTATGTAACTGACCACAGGGAGCTCATGACTTCCAGGTCATCTGTTGCCTCTCATCCCCGGGATGCTCATTTCCATGTAGCTCTGCTATCCCCTCATCAGTCTTCCACCCCCAATGCCCCAACCCTACGTAAGAGCTTGTGCTCACTCCACAAAATCCTCCACACCTTCAACCTTCTATCATCACCTTATTATCCTAGTTGGCCCACGGCCACCCTCTTCAATACTGCCCACCACAATTCCTGATAAATTATCCTTCCAAAACACTGACCTCTCAGTTCCTTGACCCTCACCTCCTTCAATTAGCTTGCCCTCCACTCTACCTCAGGAACGCAATTCCCAAGGACATACCATCTAGATCTGTGCCATCTTATACAGCAACCACTACTAGCCAGATGTGGCTACTGAGCACCTGAAATGTGGCCAGTGCCACATAATACCATTTTAGCTATATTTGGTAAAAACATAAAAATTTCATCATTTCTTTACTTTTTTAATGTGGCAACTAGAAGTTTAAATTATGTATGTGGCCTGCATTTCTACTGGACAGCACTACTCTACATCTAGGCTGTTAAGAATAACAATCACACCTCTTGCACCATCTTAACTTTGAGCACCCAACATCCAAGCAGCAACTCCCTCCTTTCCTAGCTTGTTCCCTTTAGTCCTGTTTCCAACAATTCTTTAGCCCCACTGGGATCTCCAAACCAGTGATCCAACCCACCCCTACAATTTTCTTTCCTTACTTGGCCTAGATCCTATGGTCCACTACCCGCTTCTCTTTGTCATCTGTACTCACCTGGCAAAACCTTTCCCTGATTAACCCAACTCTCTGCCTATGTATTTCCACACCCGCACCAGATAGTTATACACAAGAACACAACCACACCACACTGACCAGTCTCACTAAGTAGACCCTTAGGCTGCCTGGCAATACTACCACAACCTGATGACATTTCTGTACCCGCTTAATTCACCAGTCACCCAGTCATCCATTCCTCAAGGCTTCCAAGGCTCCTCCCTCAGCTCACCTTCCGTATTTCACCGAGACAATAAGAATAATCAGTAAAGAATTCCTACATCCTCCTACCAGTACTCTGCCTTCCTCTTGTTACTGAGGATGAACCAGAAAAGCTCCTATCTAAGCCAACTCCTCCACTTGTACACAAGATCCCAACTCCTCAAGGACTCAAGGACACTATTCCAGCAATCCTCCCCCTTTCCTCTGCATCATGTTTGCCCCCTCACAGGACAATCCCATTACCAGAGATATGCTGTTAATTTCTCTAACTTTAAAACCTCTCGACTTCATACTCCCTCAAGCTACTGCCTCACCTCTCTGCTCCCCTTTAGAGCAAAGCCACCAGAAAGTACTGTCTGAACTTGCTGTTTCTTCCTCCCATTCTTCCATTCTCTCTAAATCTATGCCAATCAGGTTTCTGTCCTCACCACTCCACCAAAGCAGCTCAAGGCCAACAACCTACCTTCCCATTATGAAATCTACTGGTCCACTTTCAGTCCTAATTTTCTGCCTACCGGCAGAGGGCAAAACTAACCACTTTCTCCAAATGGCTTTCTCCCTTTTTGCTGATGCCTCATGATCCTGACTCGGGCCTCAGTCCTTAAATCTATTCCCTTTCTGCAGCACTACTCCTTAATGATCCCACTTAGTTCCACAGTTGCAAACACCAAATGCGTACAGATACCCAGCTCTAGCCCGGGCCTCCTCCTCTAACTCCAGATCCCATTGACTGCCTATCTCTTAGAAATCCAGTAAACATCTTCACGCAAATATATTTCCAAAATGAAGTTCTTTATCTCAACTCCCCTTCCCTCCCCTCCACCCCCAAACCCTGTACTTCTCTGAAAATCTTCCACACTTGTGCATATGGTATCTGAATTGAGCTCCTGCCAAAAACATTCATTTTTTCAAAGTCATTCATTTCTCTGCTCAGACCCCATATCTAACGTATTAAGAAAGTCATGTTGGCTCTACCTTCATATATCACCCCAGTGGGCATGCCTCTCACCAGCTATCACTGTTTCAAAGCTTCCATCACTCTCACCAGAAATCTTAACAGCCTCCTAACTAACCTCCCTGGTTCCACTCTTCGCTTTAAAACTCCAGGTCAGATTATAGTACTTCTCTTCTTAAACCCCCAACAGCTTCCCATCTCTCTGAACAAAAGCCAAAGTCCTGCAAGGCCCCACATGATCTGACCCCTCTTTCCCATTCTTTAGCTTCATTCCCTCCTCCTCCTCCTCCTCCTCCTCCTCCTCCTCCTCCCAGTGTAGCCTACTTGTTTACCTCAAACAAACCAAAAACATTACCACCTCTGATCCCTTGCTGCTTGTGCACTTTGTTATTCCTTCTGGCTAAGATACTCTTCCTCAAAATTGTATGGTGTGCTCCCTTGCTTCATTCAGGACTCTACTCATACTTCACCTTCTCAGAGCAGCTTTCCTTAGGCACCTTCTAAAACTGTACCCTTGGGGAGCCTGGGCGGCTCAGCTGTTAAGCATCTGCCTTTGGCTCAGGTCATGATCCCAGGGTCCTGGGATCGAGCCCCACATCGGGCTCCCTGCTCCGCGGGGAGTCTGCTTCTCCCTCTCCCACTGCCACCCTCCCACACACTCATGCATGCTCTCTCTCGCTCTCTCTCAAATAAATAAAATCTTTAAAAAAATAAAAAATAAACTGTATTGTTACTCTCTATCCCTAACTCTTAGTCTACTTTTCGCTAATTCAGTAAGCACTTACCTTTGGATTTATTATACAGATGACTCTTGAACAATGCAGGCATTAGGAGCACTGACCCCCTGCACAATCAAAAACCCATGTATGACTGCTGACTCCCAAAAAAACTTAACTGCTAATAACCTACTGTTGACTGGAAGCCTTATCAGTAACATAAACACTCAACACGTGTTTTATGTTATAGGTATTATACACCGTTATTTTTACAATAAAACTAGAGAAAAGGAAATGTTATTAAGAAAATCAAAACAGGGACACCTGGGTGGCTTGGTTGGTTAAGCGTCTGACTCTTGATTTCAGCTCAGGTCATGATCCCAGGGTCATGGGATCAAGCCCCATGTCAGGCTCCATGCTCAGCGTGGAGTCTGCGTAAGATTCTCTCTCCGTCTGCCCCTCCTCCTCCTCACACACTCTCTCAATAAATGAAATCTCTTTTTTTTTAAAAGATTTTATTTATTTATTTCAGAAAGAGAGATAGCAAGAGCAGGAACACAAGCAGGGGGAGTGGGAGAGGGAGAAGCAGGCTTCCCGCTGAGCAGGGAGCCCGATGCAGGGCTCGATCCCAGGACCCTGGGACCATGACCTGAGCTGAAGGCAGACGCTTAACCACTGAGCCACCCAGGCGCCCCTCAATAAATGAAATCTTAAAAAAAAAAAAAAAAAAGTCAAAACACATTTACAGTACTGTATTAAAAAAAAAAAATCCACATAAGTGGACCCATGCAGTTCAAACCTGTGTTGTTCAAGAGTCAACTGTGTAATCATTTTTATTGTCTCCCTAAACTAGAATATAAGCTCCTGAGGGACAATATTCCACTCAGTACTGTATTCCACTCAGTACTGTATTCCAAACTGAATGGTATTTGTTACACAGTAGAGGAGAACTAAATTTTTGGTGAATGAATGAATGAATTCTTTCATAAGTACATTAAATCTGTCTTATTCTATAATGGTTACAACGTATGGAACATTCAAAAAGAAAGATAATTTAACCAGCCCCTTGCTAATTTAGGTTGTTTCCTAGATTTTGCAACTACCAACAATGTTACAATGAACCCCCTTGTACAAAAGGTACCTAAGAAACTCCTAAAATCAGAGTACCTGGGACTAAGGATATAGCATCTTGCATTCTGCTAGATACTATAGGGCAAATGTCATTAATTAATTGAAGTCACTTTATTACCTAAATATTCAAGAGGTACCTCTAATTCAGGAGTGATGACAGAAGGACTATACAAAGTAAGGTACCCCAAATTTGCTATAATTTCTCACAATCCAGGATTATGATGTCTTCTTCCTCCAAGGAAATTTTCATAACTTTCAAGGGAAGAAAGGAGGCAAAGTTCCAAACCTAGTTAAATCCTCACCTATTCAACACTGCTTTAGTTATTTACTCTTCCATCTGTTTCTCCCCTCCTCCCCAACTAATGATAAACTGGGGGGGGAGGGGATCAGAGCTCTTGCTTCTTATTCTAGAAAGACCATTCTTAAATTCCATACCTCATCTCGTCTTCCACCATTAAAAGAAGAGCTAAAGACTTTGCTGCTGCCACCACCCCTCTGTGGAGGCATCTTGTTAAAAGTTTTGCTTTTCTGTGAATTGGAGCGACGGGCCTGGTTGCTAAAATTTTCATTTTTGGGATAGGAAGGTTCACGTTTGCGATTAAAACGCTTGGATCCACTTGAGTTCTTTCCATCTGAAAGCAAGAAATGTGAAGAATTAGTTAAGAAATGATACACAGGGCTCCTGGCCGATCAGCTGGAAGAGCATGCAATGCTTGACCTCGGGGCTGTAGGTTCAAGCATCCCCATCAGGTGGACACTACCTAAAAAAGTAAAATCTTTGGGGCGCCTGAGTGGCTCAGTTGGTTGAGCGACTGCCTTTGGCTCAGGTCATGATCCTGGAGACCCTGGATCGAGTCCTGCATCGGGCTCCCTGCTCGGCAGGGAGTCTGCTTCGTCCTCTGACCCTATCCCCTCTCATGTGTTCTCTCTCTCTCAAATAAATAAATAAAATCTTAAAAAAAAAAAAAAAAAAGTAAAATCTTTTAAAAAATAAACAACAGGGGTGCCTGGCTGGCTCAGTCAGGAGAGCCTGCGATTCTTGATCTCAGAGTTTTAAGAAAATAAAATCTTTAAAAATAAAGGTAAATAGGCCCTACCAGCCTCTAAGAAATCTGGGTTTGGACAAGAACTTTGGGCAAGACATCTCATAGTAAGGTGGTTTTTACTTCTGCTTTTTAAAATTTTTTTTAAAGATTTTATTTATTTATTTGAGAGAGAGAGAGAGACAGAGCCCGCAAGCAAGCACGAGCAGGGGGAGAGGGAGAAGCAGACTCCCCACTGAGCAGGGAGCCCAATGCAGGGCTCCATCCCAGGACCCCGGATCATGACCTGAGCCAAAGGCAGGCGCTTAACCAACTGACCCACCCAGGTGTCCCTACTTCTGCTTTTTAAATGACAAAGCCTAAAGGGTCCCTCCTTCAGGAGGGATACAAATGCAGATGAAACTACATAGATTCTTCGATCACAATGTCTCCCTTTTTTACAGGGTTTAACCACTGCTCTTATTAAAGTCTATTTAAATGAAGTGATAGAAAAGGGAACAGCCTGGGGCACCTGGCTGGCTCAGTCCATACAGCACACAACTCTTGACCTCAGGGTCCTAAGTTCCGGAGCCCTACGTTGGGCATGGACCCTACTTCAGAAAAAATTTATATACATATTTTTTTGGTATATTTTTTATATATATATATATATATATATTTTTTTTTTTTTTCGGACAGAGAGACACACAGCGAGAGAGGGAACACAAGCAGGGGGAGTGGGAGAGGAAGAAGCAGGCTTCCCGCTGAGCAGAGAGCCCCATGTGGGCTCAATCCCAGGACCCTGGGATCACAACCTGAGCCGAAGGCAGACACTCAGCGACTGAGCCACCCAGGCGCCCCAAAAGAAATTTTTTTTAACTAAAAAAAAAAAAAAGAAAAAGAGAACAGCCTATCTGTATTAGGGAAAAGTATTTTATCTGGAAGCAGGATAGAAGACATTCTTCTTCTTAAATTACTACAACATAGCTAGATTCTATAGTGCAAAGGCTTGACCTAGGCCCTGGCAGGTACATTCAAGAGGCATAAAAGCAAAACAATATTTACATATACACTAGACCTCAAACGGAGAAGCCATTAAATTGACAAAACAAAAGAAGCTGAGTTCTAAGAACATATTAAATCAGCATGAGTCATATCCTTTTTTTTTTTTAATTTTTTTTTAAAGATTTTATTTATTTATTTGACAGACACAGCGAGAGAGGGAAGACAAGCAGGGTGAGGGGCAGAGGGAGAAGCAGGCTTCCCGCCGAGCAGGGAGCCTGATGCGGGGCTCGATCCCAGGACCCTGGGATCATGACCTGAGCTGAAGGCAGTCGCTTAACCGACTGAGCCACCCAGGCGCCCCATGAGTCATATCCTTTTAAAAAATATTTCTGGGGTGCCTGGGTGGCTCAGTCAGTTGGGCAGCTGCCTTCGGCTCGGGTCATGATCCTGGAGTCCTGGGATCGAGCCCCGCGTCGGACTCCCTGCTCTGCGGGAGGCCTGCTTCTCCCTCTGCCTCTGCCTGCCACTCTGCCTACTTGTGCGCTCTCTCTCTGTGCCAAATAAATAAATAAAATCTTTAAAAAAAAAAAAAAAATTTCTTGGAGCGCCTCGGTGGCTCAGTAAGTTAAGTGACCGACTGACTCTTGGTTTCAGCTCAGGTCATGATCTCAGGGTTGTAAGACTGAGCCCTGCGCCAGGCTCTGTGCTCAGTACAGAGTGTGCTTGAGATTCTCTCTCCTTCTCCCTTTGCCCCTCCCCCTGCTCACACTCTCTACCTCTCTCTAAAATAAAATCTGAAAAAAAAATTTTTTAAATATATTTTTTGCTTTTTTTTTATCTCCAGTTGTAAGAATATATGTTCAATTTTGAAATCTGGAAGAATTTAAATTTGCCACTATCCATATACCAACTTACACACAGTGCATAATTTCCTTTCACTCTCCATTTTATACACTTGTCACATCTTCCACAAAATGACATACAAAATATACTGTCTTCTATTACTCCATGAGCATTTTCATGCATCTCTAGTCTTCAAAGCATGATTCATGGCTGCATTGTCTACCATATGCTTATAATAGAATATAACCAATCTCCTACTGCTATATATTTAGGTGGTTTCTAGTTTTTTGCTAGTTAGCATTGCGAGTCGCTTTTATAGAGGACTGTGTGTATGATTATGTCAAATTCTCAGAATGAGGGACGCCTGGGCAGCTCAGAGGGTTAAGCGTCTGCCTTCGGTTCAGGTCATGATCCCAGGGTTCTGGGGTCGAGCCCCGTGGATCCCCAGATGGAGCCTCACATCAGGCTCCCTGCTCAGAGCGGAGTGAGTCTGCTTCTCCCTCTCCCTCTGCCACTCCCCCTGCTTGTGTTCTCTCAGGCTCTGTCAAATAAAATATTAAAAAAAAAAAAATTCTCAAAACGAAATCAGCAGATTAAGTATGATCATTAAAACATTTTATGCAGGGGCGCCTGGGTGGCACAGTCCTTGGGCATCTGCCTTCGGCTCAGGTCATGATCCCAGGGTCCTGGGATCGAGCCCCACATCGGGCTCCCTGCTCCACAGGAGGCCTGCTTCTCCCTCTTCCACTCCTCCTGCTTGTGTTCCCTCTCTCCCTGTGTCTCTATCAAATAAATAAAATCTTTAAAAAAAAAAAAACCTTTTATGCATTCTCAAGTTGCTTTCTAGAGCCATTATACCTACTTATTTATACTCTAACAACACTGTAAAAGAGAAAGTTTAGGTCACTACATTATTGACAATGCAGAGTTGAAATAAACTTTGTTAAACTGAAGGGTCAAAATTCTTGTTTTAAATTTTATTTTCTCTGACAAGTAGCAACAAATACTTTTTCAATCTATTGACCATTTGTATTTTGTGTAAAGAGCACTTGTTTGTATTCTTTTCCCCATATTTTCTACTTGGGGGCTTAAGTGCATATTTTGTCCCAAATTGAAAAAAGAATCCTGACAAGACACATTTAAAATGTGCCAAGGTTACCTGGCTTAAAAAAAAAAAAAAAAAAAAAAGGAAAATGAAACCTGAGAACCATATATATCTAAATAACTAAATGTGGAAGAGGTACCCAAATTAGTCTTTGGACAAAAAAAAAAAAAAAACACTACTTTATCTTTCTTGTCCCTTCGCCCATTCCATGTTGTCTTTTTTTTTAATCTCAGAATGAAATTTATTTTTTTAAAGGTTTTATTTGAGAGAGCATGAGAGAGAGAGAGAGAAAGCAGTGGGGAGGGGCAGAGGGAGAGGGAGAAGCAGACTCCCCACTGAGCAGGGAGCCTGATGTGGGACTCTGTCCCAGCACCCTGGGATCATGACCTGGGCTGAAGGCAGACACTTAACCAACTGAGCCACCCAGGTGCCCCCAGAATAAAATTTATTTTAAAAAAGATTTCCATCCTGTCTTGGATTTGTCTATAATCACTTCATGTTGTCTTATTTCAACATGGAAATCTGACCAAATCAAGCCTGCATACTAATTTAATGGCTTTCATTTAAGCAGAAACTTAGAATGGAAGTTGGGAGACTTTTAATGAATAAACGCATTAGGCTTAGAGGCTCAAACCTTAAGGGGATGGTAGTTTACAAAGCCAAGAGGATTCCGCCATGAGCTTCAGAAACTACAAAGTTTTTCCCCCCAAAATAGCTTAATCCTGTTTATGTTAAAAATATAGAATTCGGGCGCCTGGGTGGCTCAGATGGTTAAGCGTCTGCCTTCGGCTCAGGTCATGATCCCGGGGTCCTGGGACTGAGCCCCGCACTGGGCTCCCTGCTTAGCAGGGAGCCTGCTTCTCCCCCTCCCTTTGCTGCTCCTCCTGCTTGTGTTCTCTCTGTGTGTCAAATAAATAAATAAAATCTTTAAAAATATATATCTATAGGGCGCCTGGGTGGCTCAGTTGGTTGGGCGACTGCCTTCGGCTCAGGTCATGATCCTGGAGTCCCTGGATCGAGTCCCGCATCGGACTCCCTGCTTGGCAGGGAGTCTGCTTCTCCCTCTGGCCCTCCCCCCTCTCATGTGCTCTCTCTCTCTCATTCTCTCTGTCTCAAATAAATAAATAAAATCTTAAAAAAAAAATAAAACAGGGCGCCTGGGTGGCTCAGTTGGTTAAGCGACTGCCTTCGGCTCAGGTCGTGATCCTGGAGTCCCGGGATCGAGTCCCGCGTTGGGCTCCCTGCTCGGCAGGGAGTCTGCTTCTCCCTCTGGCCCTCCCCCCTCTCATGTGCTCTCTCTCTCTCATTCTCTCTGTCTCAAATAAATAAATAAAATCTTAAAAAAAAATATATATATATATATAAATACATATAATTCATAGAAAAATAAAGACACACACACACACCAAGAAACAGATTCTTACCTAAGGCACACAAACTGATGATGACCAAAGGGGAGGTGGGGGGGGGGGTGAAATAGGTGAAGGGGATTAAAGAGTACACTTATACCATGGTGAGCACTGAGTAATGGATACAATTATTGAATCACGATATTATACACCTGAAACTAATATAACACTGTTAACTATACTGGAATTAAAAGTAAAAACTTAATTAAAAAATTTTTTTCTAGGGACACATATATGTGTGTGTTTGT